TTTGTCTACTGTCGTACTTTCTCCTACCTGTATCTTTTTTTTTTTTTTGATTGACGCAGCGGTGGGTTGGGGCAGTCGGGCAGTGTTTGCGTTTTTGGCCTGTTGCTGCTGCTGCTACGCACCGAGGGCGAGGGGCGCTGATATTTTATGTGAGGGGATAAAGAGGCGTTTGTGTTGCGTCTGCATGCATGGACGAGGACTATGACACGGCGTCCTTGCAGGAGAGTGTGAGGCGCCGGTTTCTACTGGTGTTGGCGCAGCTGCTGCCACCGTGCGCGTCTACGGCCGCACAGCCCACTGCTTTGGCGTCAGCGCCATTTTCTGCGCACTCCCCAGTTGTGCTGACGGCTGTGAAGTCTCTCGCGTCGGCGGATGAGGGCGGCACGGAGGACGTCGAAGGGGGTGGCCCAATTGTATCCTTTGCGTGGCCTGACGATTGTGACGACGAGGGGGATGCCTCTCGCAGAGCCGAGATTGTGGCGCTTCTGCTGACGGGTGAAATGGGCGTCGGTGGGCAACTTTTTAATGTCTGCGTGGACATCTTTGAGAGGCAACCCCCACACCAGCATTCTTCGCTGCGCCTCCTGCTGCATTCAACTCTTTCTGCCGTACTGACTAACTATCGATGCGACGCAGCACATGCTAAGCGGGAGGTCGCTTTGGATGAGGCTTCAACGTCGTCGCCTCCACAGGAGTCGGACTGTGCACTTACGTCACTGCTTCGTACGGCGGCAGCGATGGTGGCAATCAACAAGTCTTGGTGGGCAACAACGCCGGGTGAGGAGGATTTTCTAGAGCGTGAGGGTTCTTCGGGTACGGCGATGCTAATGAGTAACGCGGATCGTCTCGTAGAGGGACTATGTGACTTTGTTGTTGCTGTGGCACAGCAAGTTACTGTGGGGAAGGGCAATGCGTATACATTCCCCCCTGTTTGCTGCAGCAGGGCTTTGTGCAAGCGACGGAGGGAAAGTGTATGTAAAGGCACGTTTGGGAAGGAACGATGGTTTGCAGCTATGAATAACGATTCCTTTCCTCAACTGCAGGAAGTACCGAGTATTGCAGAGGTCTTTCAGGCAAAATCATCTTTGGGTTGTGCCGCTGCATGTAGCGGCAGTAACAATCGTAATAGTGGCAACGGTGAGGCGTTGTCAGAGATTGGAAATGCTCTCGCTGTCATAAATGAGGCTTGTAAGGCCCGCACCGTGCCAGACATGTCGCCCTGGCAATACGGCCGGAATCGAATTACTTTGGCCTCCCTTACAGTCATCACGCAGCAGGTTCCAGAGCACGACACTGCCACAGAAGAAAGTGAGCAGATGACGATGGCAGAAAGGCCTGTGCAACATGACGACAGCAATACAAATAACGACAACTCAACATCGGACTATTTTGTGCACGAGGATGGGACACATGAACTTTTGGGTTATTTTCTGCACGAGACAGGGACGCTGTACACAACTCGTGGGGGACGGTACCTTATGGAGATCGACTAAAACGTGGAAATTCAATTTGTTGAAAAAATGGAGTGGGGAAGACAAAAGATAACAGAAAAACACAACAAAAACAACAATAAAAACACACGCAATAATAACCCGTAATGGGCAGGACAAAAAAAAAAATGAAAAAAGAAGATGCATTTGGGGTTGTTACCAGTTTGTTGCCAAGATGTTTTTTGTAAACGTGTATTTATTTAGCTTTGCGGGAGCTGAATTCCCTTGTTTGTTTCCATCATGGACTTTGTCTTGGCCATTTATTTTGTTGCACGGAGGACAACTAACTCCCACTCTCCCCCTCTCTTTATCCCTTGCTCGCCTCGTGCAAATTATTGGGGCTGAGTGTGGCTAAAAATGGGGGTCGCAGGAGGGCGGACGTAGATGCGGGAGAGGGAGGAGGTGAGAGAGGTAGAAGGTATGACTCCCACGAGAAACGTTGTGGCGATTGGTGTGTCGGGCTGCAGTGCGTCAGGCAAAACAACACTGGCGAACCGTCTTGTGGAGCTTCTCAACTCGCCACTTCGACCAATTAGTCTGGATGATTTTTTTGACGAAGATATGTGCGAGATGCTGGGCACGTGGGAGGACCCACGTTGCATGCGCAGCAGAGACTATGCGCGGCTTCTACGCGAGATTAGACGACGGCTTCAGAGCGACGATCGCTGTGCTGCCGAATGTCTACAAGATGTGGCTGGGGCGTCTCCGTTTCTGCGCTCTCAGCCCGCCGATCCATCAGCGACAACTACACCGCAGGACTCTCTTTCAGATGCTTCGTCCAAAAAGAGCGTGGACAATTACGCGGTCCCATTCCACGACGCTGTGGGGGCCACCGCATTGCATTAAGGACGTGAGAATCAAGGGACCGTCTATATCGTGTGCGAGGGATTTCTTTTGTTTTTGGATCAAGCCATTTGCGAGGCAATAGATTACTTTGTTATTATTGAGATTGACGAGGACACTGCTTCTCTGCGGCGCTTTTTGCGTTTTCCCCGGCGTCACTTGCGTTGTCGGGGGTACGGGGAGCGCATCAAGCGTATGTTTCGTTGTCGGCGGAGTTGTTTGCTGCTCACCGTCCCCACCACCAATAATGCACTCCTGTCTCCATTATTTGCGCAGTTGCTTCCAAACCTGAAGTATCTTCCACCGTTGCCCTCTGTGACTGGGGATTATGAACGGTTTTGGCTGCAGCGAGAGTATCTGCAGCACACACCACCTCCCATGCCACTCAATACGTATGCCGCACAACAGGTAGCGTCGCCGTACTTTTGGATGGAGGTGAAGGACCCGCTTTACATTACGCACACACTACAACAGTCACGCTTGGTGGCATGTGAAGGGATGAAATTGGGGATCTCTTCCTTTTCCCCAGCTTTATATCAAACCACTAATAGTAATACGGTTACGGATAAGACTTCTGAGATGGACAGGATGTGTATGTTACAGAAGCAATACTTTGAGTTCCGTTACTGGTTCTTCTTCGAGGTGCTATACTACTACCGTCAAATGCGCCCCGCAGAAGAGGAGGCAATTAGCAAGGCATACCAGAAGCGGCATCACGCGAATGATGGGGCTTCTCCAATTTTGCGTATAACTGCAGGTATGGGTGTGTCGGATACCATGTTGGATAAGGAGCTACTTTCCTTTGTGCAACGCTTGATGCAGTCGCCGTACAGTGATGAGATCCGTGACGCTGGGGTGGCTCGCGAAACTGTTTCTGTATGATGATATGGTTGCTATTTAACCTTTACTTTTCCCTTTCTGGTGTGTCTTTCTCCTTGCTATTATTCTTTCCCTCCGTCTCTGTTGCAACGCTAGAAGGGACGCTGATGCCTCATTTGATTTTTTACTCTGCTGATGTGGGAGCACATGAGCTGAGGAGTCTGATGAGAGTTTATTTCAAGTTGAAAATACCCCATGCAAACACGCAATTTTTTTATTCTTTCTTTTCTTTGCTCTTACTCTGATCAAACGGCTGTGGTTTCCTCCTGTTTGCTGGGCGCCTCAGAAGCAACGCGGGAACGCGAAAGATTAAGAGAAAACAATACCACACAAAGGGCGAGGGACTTAAGGATAGTTGACGAGATTATTGTATATATATATATACAACATAAGACTCACTTTTGTTTTGCGTTAAAGAGAAAGAGAGAGAAAGAAAAAAAAAACAGGATTACTGTCAATAAAAATGGGGGGAGTGCCGATGTATGAAGAACACCACAGGCCAAGGAACCGCGACAGCGGCTGCCTCCGGTTCTTCCGTGCGTTGCTGATGGGGATGAATATACTCCTGACAGCTGGTGCCGTTGCAGGCCTAGCCGTTGGCCTGCTTGAGCGCAGCACGATGGAGGCGACACTGAAGGAGTTATGCCCATCATGTCACACAATGTTTATTGCGTACATTGTGGTCTTTAGTGCGCTCCTAGGCTTTTCACTGCTTGGATTCTTTGCCCTCTGCACTCGGAATATATTTCTGCGCGTGGTGTACTTTGTTTACCTTTTCTTGCTGTTTTTTGGGGCCTTCGGCATTTCAATCGCGTACGTCCTTGTCAGCACGAACCGAGTCAACATGGAGGCAAGTTGGAACAAGGCCACCATAACCAACCCCGATGAAATGTGCTCCCTGGAGCTGCAATTTCACTGCTCCGGTTGGAGCATGCTCTGCAACACTTCACAAGCGAAAGACACGCTCTTACTGACCCGACGAGATGGTCTGCCGTTGATCGCGGGGGGAGAGCAGCGTGTGCCCATGACTCATGCCGACCCCACTGATAAAGTATTTTGCCCAGCCTGCAGCGAGAATGATCAAACACAAATTAATAAATACAACAACACATGCGAATCTGTTGTGCTGGGCACCATCAAGCAACATATGAAGGAAGTGCTGCCGATTGGGCTGTCCATTACAGGCCTTGCGCTCATTGGGATGGCCGTGACATGCCTGCTACAATGCGAGACAAATCGCGACGAGTATTATGGCGTGCGTTACTACCGCATGTAGCTGAGTCAACTATTACAAATAGCTTCATGTGTAATACATATATATATATGTATATATATATATATATAT